ATGCAAACTGGAGGTTAAAACCGTAGCACAAACTTTTAGTTTGCTTTGATTGAGTGAACGTGGCCAAAAGAGCGGGCGGAAAATCCCATCCAGCTTTGGCCACGCTTAATCAATGGCCCAATGGTCAAATGGGCTCACAAAAACAGGAACAACACGATCGCCTTCTACCTCTGCAACCTCTCTTACCTGCAATCGCAATCATGGACACATTCAGTTGGCCGACAACAGGACAACAAAACCGTAAGCAATTGCCAGTCGCATAATGTCCTGGCCATCATCATTGTTGTTGTTGTTGTTGTTGTTAGTGTTAGTGCTGTTGTTATTGTTGTTGCAGTGGCTCGGAAAATCAAGTTGAAAGTTCCTGGCAACTTGAGGTGCTAGTGTCGTGTTTTTGTCAACGGGCCAACAGCAGCAATTTCCGTTTCCTGTTCGCCGCTGATGGAAAAACGAGGCAACGAGTCAACGAGTATAAAAGTTTAGATTACAAATTCACATACGTAACTGCAGCCGTACACTGGTCAGCAGTTGATTTACCGCTCAGTTACTGTTGTTGCAGTACAGTGAGAAAAAAATGAGTGAGAACTTGCAATAAATGAAAGTTAAATTAAAATGTTCTCTTTTACAAATGCATACAAGTTCAAATTTGATTAAAAGAGTTTTTTATATAAAATATTAATAATTGCATTCCTTAAAATCCTTCTTTCTAAAGTACATATATTGGAAATCATTTTGATCCTTACATAAAAGACTTTTAAAATTTCAATTCCATTTTATTAGCTTCCAAATTTCCAGTGCAGCTTTTCTTTAGCCTTGTTCCGTTTGGCGTGTTTTCTTTTTTGGCCAGGCTTGTGTTGGCTTGGTTTTTCGTAGCCGGGCGCATGTTTTGTGGTCAACTCGGGGCAATGGCAATGCAATTGGGGCTGCCTTGGCTTCAGATGCTTCTCCAGCTGCTCCTGCCGCTGTACTTTTTGCCATTGCCACTCATGCGTGCCACGTGCTATGCTTTGATGTGGTGTTCCATGCCCACCACCGCCTTCATGCCTCTGCCAGATTCCAGCTCCTAAATAAACTTGGAATAATAAGAGTCAAAAAAAAAAAAAAAAAAGAAAAAGGAAAAGAGAAGGAAACGAATTGCCACACAAGCTCGCCTCAAATGTTACTTCTGCATTTGGGCAAATTGGACTCGGCGAAAACCACACGGAGACACGAAACTTTGTAAATATTTTATGCATAAACACATACCACCTGGAAATGGCTTTCGACACAGCATCAAATAATATTTACTCGGCTAACACATACACACACACACACATTCGCTTAGAGGACTATTCGGTTCATTAGGCCCAAAGAGCAAGTTGGGCCACAAAAACCTGCAGATCAAGTCCGGATTGCGGCAGCTCAATGAATTTACCAACGATTGGACAACCCACAGTAACGGATACGAATTCGGTCATCTCAGGGAATCGACGAGAATCCCAGAAAAGGATATGGTTGTGTATGAGGATGTGGATGTGGATCAGATGTCGCAACGGAAAGCGGTCCATAAATAAAGCAGCCTAATCAACACTGCCATTGGCAGCATTATTGTCACGTATTATTTTACATTTGTCTACGTTTGGCTTTCTCCTCCATCAATATTCTTTTTTTTTTTTTTGTGTCTTATTTTTGTATTTTTCCATTGTTCCTGGCATTGTCCTTTCGCTGCCAAGTGCATCCATAAATTGTGAGCTCGGTTCGGGCATCCTTTTTATTTATTTACTCCGTGTAAGTGGAGTTCACTTTGCAATGCAATGCGCTGAGTGGAAGCTTCTCGCCGTCGTTTTCCCTTTAAATTCTTCTTATATGTCTCAGTCTGGAATGTTTCTTGGCATCATCATCATCTCTATCATGACTGCATTCTTTGGCTATTTTTTGGAAGGATCAATATATTTTCTTCTCCTAAATGCCACGAACTTTTGACTGTATTTGGGCTGAAATTTAGATAAACTGACATTAAAATATTCTTTTTATTTTTTATTAATTTATTTAGTTACAATATTAAAGCGGAATCGTCGAACTTTCAACTTTTAGCTGAAATTTTTAGTCTTAAAATGAAGGAAAATGCATTAAAATTCTAATAAAATGTATATCTTTCTTAAAGTAACATTAAAGGAAGACCCATTTCCATTGAGGTTATATCCTAATTCACATTTCTCGGCTTTTATGCTGCCCTATGCTAATTTGAGCCCTTACTCGCATTCTTGCTGGCAGCTTAATCATGCATGTTTACACGCAAGTTCGAGTGGCAAACTCAAACACCCAGAGTTAACAACAGCAAAGTAAATGAATTGCACGGATGAAGAAAGGTGGCCCCTTCAACCATCCAGCCCCCTCATTGTTATTTGCTTACCCTGGGGGGCGTGGCAACCCATTTCCAGTTCCAGTTCCAGTCCGTTAATCAACGAGCGCCTGCCTGAACTCAAACATTTAACTAAATTAAGTTTGTTTGGCAAGAATTTTTGCATAAATAATTACAAATGCAAAAGGCTTAGACAGCTGTGATCAGATATGGGTTAAGAACAAGGATATATGTAAATTATAATTCCAGGAAATATCATTATTTTTATAGTTCTTCTAGATGTTAACGGTTTTTAGAGTTCTTAAAATTGAGTCTCCTGTTATTTTATTTATTTTGTTTTAAGATTTTGAAAAATACTATCACCATAACGCATGAAAAGTATTATTATCAAGGGTCTTGAAGTAGAAAATATTAAATATTTTATAAACTTTTTATATACTATTGGCTAGGGTATATGGAAATTGTATGCATTATTCATTTTATCGGGATTTGAATGTGACTTTCTTCTCGAATATCCCTTTTTCAGAGTGTCAGAGTTCTGTTTGTTAACTTTTTGTTTCATGTTTCGCTGGTTCGTTACTTGTTCTGAATTTCTTTCAGACTGTTATGTAAATGTGCCCACTTTTCTAGCCATTAGCCTGCCTTTCGAAGAAATCAAGCAGTCAGGGCTGACAAGTACTGCATGAAGTTGGGGCAAAAGATTTGTTAATTAATCCCAGAAAACAGGGTTTCATTTGCTCTAAACTCTGAACATTTAAGCCATATACTCGTGTGGGATACGTGAATTATTTTGAATAGCTTTCAAATATTAACCATTTTGGAAAAGCTAAGCTCTTAAATCGTTTCCGCGCAATTTAAATATTTAACATTATAATTAAAGAGCATACTATTTTAAAAGCTATTCGCCGAATAAAAAAACAATATTGTTATTAACATCTTTGAAACAGTTTTGGCTTATTATTTTGTTAGTTTATGTTACATATAAAATCTATTAAAAAAAGTAAATTTCATATAATTTGTGCTGTTTTACTATAGACCAATAATAATCCATTTTTAATAATCTGCGTGTAATTAGTTTAAAATGGGCGTTATGGTGGGCGTGGCAAGATGCTGAAAAAAAATGCAAATGATAAGTATGGACTCAAGAATATGCCTGCTTAATCTCAACTCTGTATCTCTTTTAGTTCTTGAGATTTCAGCATTCATACGGACAGACGGATAGACGGACAGACGGAAGGACAGACGGACATGGCTTGATCGATTTCCCTATTGATCTTGATGAAGAATACATATACTTTATAGGGTCGGAAAAGCTTCCTTCTACCTGTTACATACTTTTCAACGAATCTAGTATACCCTTTAACTCTACGAGTAACGGGTATAATAACCAATATATATTCTAGTTTTTGTGAGTGCATGAATCCATATTTTTCTATAGTAGATAGAATATATAGAATATATAATTGACATATCGACTTTTTTTTCAATAAATCTTCTACCCTTTAAATATAACAAATATAATGACCGTATTTGTCATTATAAAAAACAATTACTTTTCAACGAGTGAGTAAACATTAAACTTCATAATATAACATTACTGAATTCAGTGCTTTTGAGTGATATTCACCGCTCGCAATGTGTTGCCAAATATCTGTGTTCGCTCCGGCTCTACTGTTCTTTTCGATGGTCCAAAATGTAAGTGCTCTAAAAAAGTATTAAGTTATCGAACTCCTTGCTTATTTCTTCATAGGCATACTCCGCTTTCGAGTTTACAAATGTTAATTGCACTTTCATGGACGAATCAGTCTGTTCATTCGAGTATTGCTTTCTAAAAACCGTTAATCGAACCTACAAATACGGATCCCTGACAGTTAATCTACACAAGGTGCCCATTAGGAAAGTTAAATTATGAAATCAATTTAATTAAAGACATTCTGACACTAAAAATAGGACAAGTTTAGATCAATTTTGCGTTATATGAACGTCTGCAGGTTGATGAAAAATAGAAAACATTCTCCAATCGCCTCATTCATTTTTAACCTCCTTGGTCCCTATTCGAATATGAATCATACTTGTCAAGGCTTACCTTAAAAAATGGGTGGAAAACCACCAAAACACCAATAAAAAAGTTTTTTAAAATTTATCTAAATAATTTAAAATCAAACATTACCTGGGTTTTTGGACCATGGAGACCATATAATTTTAGCTACATCAAAAAAAATCGGTATTTTATGGATCATTTCGTAATAGTTAATAATAAAACGTTTTGTACACCATCAGAAGAATACTCAAAAAATTATAAAAAAATTAAAAAATATTTTTATATAATAATAAATAGGTATATCTTTTCACAGGTATTCTTCTCCCTTTAATAATCAGATTATAAAATAGTATATTCACATCATTATTGTGTTCAATGCTTTGGAATATTATTCATTATTCATGAACATTTTATTAATGTGATATTAATGAGTTTAACATGACTAAAATTTATATAAAATATAAAATCGAATTTATATTTTGATCAGTACTTTTTCGCACTCACACTGTTTCGGAAGTTCTTTGTCTATTGTTTGCTTTTTTTGCTCTTCTTAATCGTTTATGATGTGCGTATGGATTATTAATAAACTTATAAAATTTTGTGTATTGTTTATATCCTAAGAACTTAGCAAGTTTTGAGCTAACGAATGTGGTTTGCACTTCCATGGACGAGTCATTTTCTTCTTTCGAGTATTGCTACATAAAGTCTGTGAATAGGACTTACAAATACGGATCCTTGAAAGTTAATTTACACAAGGTGCCTATATGGAAAATTAAAGTATGAAATGGACTTTGATTAGAGGCATGCCAAAAACTAAAAATCATTCAAATTTCAGGTTAATGCTGCTTTATATCAACGGCTTAACGGATACAAACCTTTTCTTTACAATATCACTGTTGATGGATGCAAGTTCATAAAAAACCAAAAATATTCCCCAGTCGCCTCATTCATATTTAACCTCTTTGCTCCCTATTCGAACATGAACCACAGCTGCCCATATGATGTAAGTCCTCCCAAAAACCTTCTATCTATTCTATAATAAGTATCTTTCAGCATGATGTTATTGTGGATAAAGTGCCGACTTCTTACTTAAACCATCAACTAACGAATGTGCTGCCATTTCCAGCATCTGCGTATGGATTTTACAGCGATTGGTATGCCGGTGGGATAAAACGGGCATCAGTTAATGTTTATGGTACGCTGACATAGTAAAAATATATATATATATATGTATACCCGCTTAATGGATTAAAAAATGATGTATGAAACGAAATTAAAAATAAATTTTCTTTAAAGTTCAGAAAATAAAAATTGTCAAATTATAGAAAAAATACAAAATGAATTACTAATGACAAATTTCATTAAATCGAGTTTCTTGACCCCATTCAAAATAGCCAATAAGACAGTACTTAGCTGTTTTCCCTGAAGGTAATGTCTCATTTAATATTATAATAGATACTCAAGAACCTTTATCTAGTAGAATGCGTAATAAACCTTTAAATGTTATTTAAAAAAAAAGTTAAATCGTAAATACCGGTTAATTAAGATGTGGGACCGGAAACCAATGTCTGTATTAGATATTGTGACTTAATTGCCATTGTAATGTCTCAATTAAAAAGTGTTTTAATGGTGCGCCGAAACTACTGGAATAACGATAATTAGAGCAACCGGCCAAGGGGAAAACTTCAAGGGCCTGCAGTGGCTCAACGGTCGCCGACTGCAGTTAGAGAGATAGAGCTGGAATGGAGAATGTCCCGACAATGTAGAACACCATCCATCAAATGTCAATTGTATGCCAACTGCCAACAAATCAAGCTGTCATGAGGCAATGGCAAAAGGCAGTCGTCGAGCCAGTGGAGCGTTCAACCAGAGCAAAGTATTTCTGGAGCTCCGCTCCATATTTAAAATTATGCCACTAAAGCAGGCAGTACACTGGGGAAAAAAGTGTAAACCTAAATGAATATGTTCTATACAATGAAGAACGATGTGGAGTTTATATTTTAATTAAAAAATTTCTTTAATTATTAAATTAAGTGAAAGAAGTTCAATACAAAAATCAGAAATGAATATTTCTTCGCTGATTTATGTAATGAATTTGTTAATATTTCTTAAGAGAAAAACCCCCTTAAAATAAATCAAATTTCTTTCTGTGGAGCTGAGAGGCAGCTGGTGTCCCCTATATATGCTCCATCCATCTATCCATCCAGCGTCTCGTTGCAGCTGTCAGTGCTCTATTCTGCAGTTCATCATCATTGTCATTGACATTTTCGAGTGGCTACAATGGCTGAACAGAGGAAAACGCGGTGGGCGGGTCGCACTGATTTGCATTGCTTTCGATTTATTTGTGCCTGAAAGATTTATGCGACTGGGCGGAAGGTCTATGCTGGCACACAGCCACATACCCTAACATCTACATCAAACCTATTTCGGGGATGTGAGAGTACATGGCTGTGCAGTAGGCAACCACCAGACGCGTCTCGTCCGAGGGAAAGATGGGTCCAAGGAACTCCAGCATGCTAGGCTGTTGCAGCACGATCGATCTGTATTCCTCAAATGTGATGACAGTATCTTGGTCTTCATCAAATTTGAGGAGTAGAAAATCAACCATGTCCTAGAATAGTTTAAGAAACGATGGATATGTGATTGAAATTGAGTCTAGTTCCAGCTCACCAGTCGCATCTCAAGTACCTCGTCATCGTCCCCGGGAAAAAACCTCTCGACCGAACTGGAAATAATCTCTCGATTGATGCCCAATCCATTTTTGTCATAAACCTGTTATTGGGTTAATTATTATGTTTAAAAAACTTAAATAGAACCTAAGTTTAACTCTCTTACCCTGTAGGCAAACTCCATTTTCCGTTCCATGTCACCACTCATTAGGATGGTCATATAGTTGACAAACTCCATAGGAGTCACGTATTTTCTACCCCCTGATATCAGGGTGACAATGCGATCCACTACGTCCATGTCGTACAGCTGTTGGAATCCAATCACAATGTTAACGAACTGAGCGGAGGTTATCCGGCGGGCAGTGGTTCCATTTTGGAGGCAATACTTGTAGTAGATCAGCAGAATGCAAGTCACCTCCGAGTCGTTGAAGGGCACCATTCGGGCGATCTGAGGAACCAGTCCACTATATATCGACTGGAACCGCAGGTTGTGACGATCGTTCATGGTGAGGTCCAACTTCATCTTAACTGGCTGGAAAAACAACTAATCAGAATGAAAAAAACAAGAAAAAATAAGGAAACTTGAGTTTCAATAACAAGAATAAGAATGAAAAACTAAACTGACTGCTGATAAATGAAAAGAGAAACCTTAAAGAGGTGATTCATTTTTGACTCTACATATTCCTTTCTATTTCTAGATTTTCTCCAATCGATAACCATTGTATAATCTTAGCATTTTTCTATATCTCTAGCAAATAAAAGTAACAAAATACCAGGAGAAGTTCAATCTGATCTGTGGTAATAATAGAAACCAGAGGAGGAGTTACCATAGCTCCATTTAAATTTTTTTGGGGCTGCAGGAAATTGATGCCATTACCCTCTTGTCTGACATTTTAGTGCAGTCACCGGAAGTGGCTTGGGGCGTCGATTTATTTAAAGAAAAAATCAAAGAGCATAAAAGTGAAAGTGGGTGGGCGGTTGGTCGGCTTGTTTGGCCGTGTAGGAGGACACTTTTCCGGGCAGACGCATACATCAAACTGCCAGACAGACGATGGCGGCCCACAACATGCATATCAGTCAATTTATCTCCAATTGTGTGTGCGTGTAAAAAAATTACGCAATTTATATGGCATGAGGATGTCCATGGGTGTATGTGCTTGTGTGTGTGTGTGTGCTCCTGCGGACCCATTGAACTTTCCCAGGAAAATCTACATATTGATAAATGACCCCAACAGGCAGCGAGGCAGAAAAATCGATGGACGAGCCCCACTTGACATTTAAAGCGCCGTAGCGAATTTATGCGAATTTATATTGCCTTTGGCTTGGCCTGTCTTTGATTTCATTTAATCAGATGTCGATAATTGCAATGTCCCCTGCCCCTCGAAAACTGGGTCACATTACAGGCACTGGCAGGGATTTAATAAACTTAAAGTAAACTTTATTATGCACAGACGACAGATGGAATGACCAAACTGTGAGTCCTCTGGGGAAAAAAACTTCATCAAAATGCAGCCTCTACATGGTGGAGGACTACTGTTGGAAAATGGTGGAAAATCGTAAAGCGACAGCAGCGGTAGCAAAGTGTAAAATAATTACTCGGCTTTTTCTGCATTACTTGGGCGCTTTTTGACGCACTGTTTCAAGTAATTAATTGAATAAGCGCCTTGGCCCGCAATTGTATTAAATTGCCCGCTGCATTCCCACTGATTGACTTTCTGTCTCTGCGTCAATAATTATTCAAAGTGGCATCGCACGCAGATCCTGCTGCGAGAGAGCCTTGCAACACAGTTTAAAGTTCGCCTGCAATTGATTTCACTTAAATTTGTCAGCAGGTTCATTGGGAAGAAAATCTGCAGAAAAAGAAAGGAATATCCAATAGTTAAGATTTTTTAAATGATTTTCTAAGTAAAATTTATTGGCTTAAAAATGTTTAAACTTAACTTAGTCCAAAAATATATAAATTTTAAAATCTAAGAATTTCTTGTTTTTCTCCCAGTTTTCTTTTTAAGAAATCTTATTAAAAGAGATGGCAACATCAATATCGTACGAAAATTAAACAAGGGAAAGTCTTTCTCAGTCTTAAAAAGGTAATTACATCGAAGCCCTGAAAGCCCTTTTGTTTGAGATGTGCAGTAATATGAAGAGAACATTTTAAATATATTTCATTGCCTTGACTTCTGGGCGAAGGAAGGTTTTGAAGGAGTTCAGATATTTGTGTTTTTTAAGTATCTGGTTTGCATGACCTTCTCCCTTCCATAAAACATCGTGAAAACTTGCAAAGTAGTTGGTAACTTTTATTGCCTGGCCAGTACTTGTCGACAACGTACTTGGGAAACGGCGGGAAATGAGTGATCATAGTGTTTCTCATTTTTTTTTGATGACCATCAAAAATACATGGCTTGTTGGGAGTCCTGGCAAACATGGCCTTTGCATTGCATAATTGCACTGGCAAAGTTTACGAGAAACATTTAGGTGCATACATCATTATATATGTATATTACATATTTGGTAGAAAGGGTCTGAAAAATAAAGGAGGAGAAAATCAGAGGCGGTAAGCGCTGTGTGAATAATTGTCTGTTGCCACATAGCTGGGAAATAATTTGCAGCCAAACGTAAAAAGCCGCACGGTAGCACACATGAAATTATAACATTTAATTTTTAATTATGAGTGTTATTAACATGCCGGCAACTTTTCGCCACAGACACACGGCAACCGAGGCAACTATGAAATAAATGGGAGAATAAAAAAGAAAAACCCGCACTGAGAGATAGAGAAAACAGCAAGGGGGCATGCATCATGAGTTCATATGTGAATGCAATTATTTTGCATTTTAAAAAAAAAGGAGCCATGGAGCCCTTGTAAGCCGTTTGCCACCTAATTATCTTGACTAATTGTAAGGCAAATAAAAGCCACAGCCGCTGCCTTAATAATATAACACTTTAGTCAACCCAATGGTCACCTTGAATGGCAACCAACTTTATTATAAAGTAATAAAGCCAGGCCTGCGGTAAAGGGGATTATTCTGGGGCTTTTCGAAAAAATAAACAATGGAAACGCCAAACAATTGAATTATTTTCCGAGAAAGGGCAACTTTAATGGAAATGTTTCAAGGAATTAAATGATTTAAATGAATGTTGTATAGTAGCACATTTAATGGCTATAATTAAGTAGTTCTTCAGTTAAAATGCATTTTAAGGGGGAGTTTTAAAGTTTTATTATATTAAAATAAGTTAAAAACTTATTAGGAAGGCTCATAACTTTTAGTTTGTTTTGAAACTCAGAATATGAGCTTTAGAGGTTTAACAACTGAACTAAGATGGTCATTAAATTGTATTCGCACCTGATTGTCGGTATAAATGGAGGAATTATTTTGCATTTACATGCAACAAAAGCGATAAATATGATCGTGCGCCATTTGTTTGTGTTTATATAGTGGAAAAAAAAACAATGCCAGTTGGTCACTGATTTATGGCCAGAGCTGGACTCGGGTCATGTCACTTACAAGTCGAACAGCAGCTGTTGGTTGGTGCAACTGGGGCAGCATCAGCAGTTGCAGTTGCATCTGTATCTGCGGTCGCATTGGCTTTGTTTCCGGGCCACGTTCATTATTCATCAATAGTTTTTTGGCCAGACCGGTTTAATGTAAAGTGCGCTGGGCTTTTTGTGCATGTTTATTTTAAGCGCGTGTACTGCAGGTGTTGATGCAATATTAATGGCATTTTAAATGCCACAAATGCCGGCTTGCGTAGAAAGTCTTTTTGATATTTTTCACCAATTAATTTGCCATTTAATTTTTAATTATATTATTGCCGACGGCCGAGTGGCTTTTGTAACACGAACATTGCACATTTCATATGCAAGTTTTGCACCAAATTTATTGTAATTTACTTAAGAGCCATTCCCCATCACATTCGAATATCCAGCGAGTTTACGAGTATATGGTAAAAATGCAATTTGCTTGTTATGTGCATTTTTAATGGCACGTAAATAAATTGCTGCCGCGCCATATTAAGCTCAATGCAGCAAACCCAATTAACATTGCCTCAAATAGCTTGTCGATGCTTGCTGTTTGCCAATGTTATGTTTGTAGGACCAACTTTAAGCTTCCCGGACTTCGTTGTATGTGAAAATTTACTACGGCAAACTATTTACCGATTCTCTGGTGTCTCGTTAGCTGTTTCTGTTAGTTAAGGGCAGGGGGCGTATGCGCAATGTGGTCGATGTACGCACAACATAGCCTCTTCCCAATCATCATTGCGGGGGCCTAATATCGCCCTGGTGTCACGTTTGTCTAGCAATCATCATTACAGACATTAAAATGCCCGGAGGCCCAATTTCTTTGCAGTTAATTTGATGAGAAATTCCCAATATTCAAATAGCATCAAAAGGCACTTGGTTTTGATGCCAATTTTCAATCATGTTGAAGTAATTTATTCTGTAAGCTTTAAATATAAGGTTTTTTATAAAATATTTCTCTTTAAATATTAAATAAAATATTTATACTCAAAAGAAAGGTTTTTCTAAGGCTTATCATAAAATAGCAGGTAACGTAATGCTTATCCCTACTTGCTGGTGTTGAAGCAAGTTTCCTGGTAACTAAATCCGTTGAAGAGGAGAAGCTGGCCATCCAATTCAGTGGCTTATTCAATTTACGGTCACTACTATCTGCAACAATTGCCGGGAGAAGAGTTTTCAGGCTCAACTACTCTGGGTATTCCAGTTTGTCTTGTAATTTACTTGGCTAATTAGATGCAGCGACTGTTGCCGCCAAACGAAGGACACACCCATTCCAAAGTTGCAGGCGGTCGTGAAATTTGCATAAATTTGGCATGCAACTTGTGAAGGCCGTCACATTGTGTTGGACATGTTGGGTTTCCAGAAATTTCAAATTTCTCTGGCCCCCACCGCTCATGACAAATACAGTGTCAACGTTTCTTGGGGCAGGGGGCGGCTACACCCTTGGGACATAAATTAATATAAATTAATTTAAATGTTAATTCGTTTATCGCGTTTTGTCAAGCCCGGCGCGTTGTCTTTGTCGTAATTGCCAATCAGCTGGACGGACCACGCCCCTCGTCTCTTTTTGTATTTTTTTTTGGTTCGCCCTTTAATGGTCAGAAAGTCAATTAGTCTTTATTAAGCTGCAGGTCGCTGACTCGACGGACGCGTAATGCAAATGCTGTGTCTTTTGGCCCCATAAAAATGCACTGCACAGATACGTGAATTTCAGATACAGATACAGATACAGATTCAGATACTGAAATACAGATACAGAACACAGATACAGTTACGAACAGTATGGATGGCATGGCGTTGATAATAAGCAACATTCACCAAACAACAAAAGGCAATTTTAATGAAATAACCATGTGCGTGGGGGCTCGTGGAACTGGCATCCTGGGCAAGAGAGTTCACTAACAGCGTGCGTGTACAAGATGGAATCATTAAAGGAAATGAGTTTTTTCCCCATCGGGTTATGACAAAAAATGCGTTAAAATAAATTATTTTAATGTAGTTCTCATGTCAGTTGTATGTTTGAGATCCCCACCATTCCCGCCATTTCCACCTTTGTGCGAGTGCGCGCTTTTAAAATATTCATGTAATCA